GTGCGGCAGCTCCCTGGCCACGCTCAAGCTCAGCACCATCAAGCGGCACATTCGCCAAAAGCACCCCTACTCCCTGCACTGGAGCCCCCGGGAAAAGGAAGTGATCAGCAACAGCTGGGATGCCCACCTGGGGCTGGGAGCCTGTGGCGAGGCTGAGGGCCTGGGGGTCCAGGGGCCTGAGGAGGAGGAGGAGGAAGAAGAGGAAGAGGAAGAAGAGGGGGCTCACCTCCAAGCTTGCCCGTCCAAGGGCCCAGGTAATGTGGGCAGGGGCCCGGGTGGCAGGTGGGGCCAACCCCGGCTTCTGGGCCAGCTGCCTTGCTTCCTTTGGGCGGGGCCTGCTCACCGCCCTTAATGCACAGTCCGGGGGGGATAGCGGGACCGGGGAGCCTCCAGCGCCCCGACAGCTGTGACTTTGGGTGGCGTTTGGAGGATTAAGGGGAGTGGGGTCTGGGGCTAGGCAGGGGAAGGGCTGGGATCTGAGGGTGCTCAGTGGAGTCCAGAGAAGGTGCTCGCATCTGGGTCCGGGGGAGGAGCGGGTGGGCCTCGGGGTTTGTGCGCAGGAGGATTAGAAGCGGGGGGACTGAAGACATGAGGGGAGAAGAGGACAACAGCTTGGCCAGGGCTCAGAGTCCGTGAGCAGAGGCTCTCGGAGGACCTGGCTGTGGTGGGGGCTCCCCGGAGGGCAACATCTCAGTTCCTTCCCTCCCTCCAACCTTCCAGGCAAAGCCCCAGCTGGTGGGGCCGGCAGGCGCCCGCGACGAGGGGGCCCAGGGGCAGCCCGGGCTCGGCGCCAGCGCCACCCGGCCTCCCGGAGGGCCAGGGGCAGCAGGGGGCTGGGGGCTCGGCGCCTGGAGCGGAGGCTGAAGGAGTCCCTGCAGAACTGGTTCCGGGCAGAGTGTCTCATGGACTATGACCCTCGGGGGAACCGGCTGGTGTGCATGGCATGTGGCCGGGCACTGCCCAGCCTGCATCTGGATGACATCCGTGCCCACGTGCTGGAGGTGCACCCCAGCTCCCTGGGGCTCAGCGGCCCCCAGCGCAGCGCCCTGCTGCAGGCCTGGGGTGGCCAAGCCGACACCCTGTCTGAGCTCACTCAGCCCCCACCAGGTGCGAGGACCGTCCAGGGCCCAGGTGGCCCTGCAGAGTGGGTCTGTTCCTCTTCTCCCCCCTCTTTCTCCCCCTCCCTACACACACTGGCTCGCCTCTAGCTTGGGCCTGGGGTGAGGAACAGGGCCCCCTTCTGCGTGGGGGAGGACAACCTAGCCAGCAGGCTGAGCCCCTCTCCCTCACCCCTTCCCCAACAGACGATGACCTCGTCCCCCAGGACCTGACCAGAAAAAGCCGGGACCCGGCCCCCGCTGCTGGAGCCCCCTCCTCTCGGGATCCCAGTCCCCCAGACGTAAAGGAAGAGGCTGGCGGGGTCCCTGAGAGGCCCGGGCCCGCAGACCAGAAGGAGGAGCTGGAGGAGGGCGAGAGGGTGGGGGGCCCAGGCCGGGGCCCGCGGGGCCGCGACCACCGCCGCCACTACCAGGAGCGCTGGCGGCTGGAGTACCTCATGGAGCTGGACGGCGGCCGGCGCGGCCTGGTGTGCATGGTGTGCGGGGGCGCGCTGGCCTCGCTCAAGATGAGCACCATCAAGCGGCACATCCGCCAGCGCCACCCGGGCTCCACGCGCCTCAGCGGGCCCGTCAAGGCCCTCATCGCCCAGGAGTGGAGCGAGAAGGCCGCCCACCTGCTGGCCCTGGGGCTGCCCTGCCCCGAGCCCCCCCAGGCCCCCGCCGCCCCCGGCGCAGCCGCGGCCTCCGAGGCGGGGGGAGGGGGCCCGGAGGCGGAGCCGGAGGAGGAGGAGGCGTGGTGGGGTGAGCTGGGAGCGCAGGGCCGGCGGCGGGGGAGCCGGGAGGCCGGGCCGGGCCCAGGGGGCAGCGAGAGGAAGCCGGAGGAGAGGTCGGGGAGGAGGGGGCCGGGGAGCAGAGGTGGGGGCTGTGCAGCGGAGACGCAGGGCGCTCCAATGCGGTCTCTGTCCTTTCCCAGGCGCCGCCCCGCCTTCTCCCGGGGAGCCGTCGGAGCGGCCCGCCGAGGGGGAGGACGACGAGGAGGACGGCCAGGAGCCCGGGGGGCTCGCCTTCCCGCCGCTGCCCCCGCCGCCGCCGCCCCCGCCACCCCCACCGCCCCCTCCGCCGCCGCCGCCGCCGCCTCCCCGCAGCCGGGAGCAGCGGCGCAACTACCAGCCGCGCTGGCGGGGCGAGTACCTGATGGACTACGACGGCAGCCGGCGCGGCCTGGTGTGCATGGTGTGCGGCGGCGCGCTGGCCACGCTCAAGGTCAGCACCATCAAGCGGCACATCCTGCAGGTGCACCCCTTCTCCATGGACTTCACGCCCGAGGAGCGCCAGACCATCCTGGAGGCCTACGAGGAGGCGGCGCTGCGCTGCTACGGCCACGAGGGCTTCGGGCCGCCCGCGCCGGCGCCGCGCGAGGGCGGCGCGGACCTCAAGGCGGGCGCCGTGTGCCGGGCGTGACGGGCCGCCGGCCGGCTGGGCGGGGCGGCCTTGCCTGGGAGGCGCCGCCGCTGCCCCCCGCTGGCCGGGCCGGGCGGAGGTTGGGGGTCGGCGGGGCGCCGCGGAGTCCCCGGTGCTAGACGGACCCCGCGCCCCGGCCCTCTCCGCACGGGGCCCCGCGTTTCCCGAGGAGCCCCCGCCGCCTCCGGGCTCCTGCACGAGAGCCTGCAGCCCCGCCCGGCCCGGCGGTGCTGTGCGGGGCCAGGAGGGGGCGCCGGCGGTCAGTATTAGGACCCGAGACAGGGCTGCGGGGAGGCCAGGGGGGCCGCCGCCTCCGTCCCCGGCCGGAGCCCGGCCCAGCAGCGCTGCACGCCGCAGGGGAGCCCGGGCCGGCCGCCCGGAGGCCCGGGCGCAGACGCAGGCCGGCTCCGGAGGCGGGGCCCGGGCAGCCGGCGGGGAAGGGGCGTCGCACCCGGGCTGGCGGCGTTCGTGGGCGGGAAGGAGCTGGCTGGGCCCCCGGACTGCGGGCTCCGCGGGCACCGCCCGCCTCCCGGCGCCTCCGCGCCGCCGGGCGGAGATCCCCAAAGGGATTAGCACTTTTTCCTTTGCGCCCCCCCTGCTCTGGGCTCCGCGCACCCCGCAGCTCAGGCGCTGCTGCTCCCCGCACCCGGGCGGCTTTCCCGTTCCCGCCCGGCTCCTTTGTACGCGGTGGGCGCGCCGCGGTCCTCGGGGCCCAGGCCCGGGGCCGGCCTCGGCCTCTGTCGGCCCCGCCGGGGAGGGGCCCCGCGATCTCCCAGGCAGGTCCGAGAGGGATGTGTAGATTCATTCTCCTGTGGAGAACGGGTGGCCCCCAAATCAGGCCCTTTTTGCTCTTTGTATTTTATTTGGAAACTGTATTTAATGCTTTTATAGGGGAGGGGAGGGGCGGGGAGAGATCTGTCCCAGTCACCTTTGCGTGCAAATGTCTTATTTATTAAGGAGTGTCAGAGATAAGCTGCGAGGCGGTGGAGAAGGAGTTAAGGGGTGAGGGCAGAGGGGGTGAGGGTCCCACCCGGGGACTCGGCCCCGCGCCTGCTCTTCACACGGGCCGGTTCTTCGGCCGTAAGGCTGAGTGTGGGGAGGCCAGGCTGCCTCCGTGGCGGGAAGAGCAAAGAGGAGCCCTTCCCCCATCCCGGCCCCGCCAGGCCAGAGCCCAGGGTTCAAGTGCCGCAGGCCCGGTCCCCTCGACTCTTCCTGATTTGGGAATTGGATTTTATACCACGGATTTTATAGCATTTTTATATAATTCAAGATTGTCCGAGTTGGAAAGACCTTGGAGATTAACTAGTATCCGCCTCCACCCCTTTCACGGAGAGGTAAAAGGAAGCCCAGAGACTGAGTTGTCACGCAGCCAGCTAGGGACAGGACAAACACTAGGAGAAAACACGTCCAGTTCAGTTTCTTTGCACTACATGACGCTGCCTCCCGATCTCTGGTAAGTTAGGAGAAGGCTCCCACCTGACCGGCCGCAGGACGGCACGCTGGGCGCTGCAGGCTGTGCCCGGGCAGTTAGCTGTGACCTGGGGGCGGCACTCTGCCCCGAGTGACTCCCAGGCCGCAGGCCCAGCAGGAAGGCGTGGGCAGCAGCCGTCCATCCGAACCTAAGCAGGTTTGACTGCTGCCTGGCCCCAGGCCTCCCAGGCCTCTGCCATTGTGCGCATGGCTCTCAGTTGACTGGAGAGTGACTAGTGTTTGAACCCTCAGGGTTTTTGAGACAGTATTACAAGCTTGAGACCAGGGATTATGGATGGCACCAGGCTGGGCACTGCCGTTCTTTTCTTTTCCTTCACACAAGCTGTTTTCAAACCTACAATTAGTATTCTACCACTTTTGCCACTCTGCCTGTTCAAAAACAGTAGGCATATTGGGGCAACCTATTATATTGTAGCCACCAGGCCAGCATTGCATTGGAGCCAACGGAAACGGAAGTTCCTGGGCCCACCTCACTGAGCCCAACACTGGGGTGGGCCCAGCGATCCGCTTTAATAAGCCCTCGGCGATCACAAACGCTCACTTCAATGCTGACCACCAGTGGCAGGAAGTGCCAGTGGGTGATGCCCGTGTCGGCTAGAGCTGTGGCCTCATTGCCCAGGGCCCAGCCTGTCCCTCTAGGTGTGTGCCTCCTTGTCTCGGGAGTCTGACGTGAACAGGTGACATTTCTTCATGAGCTTTTTTGTTAATGGTATGCTTGCTATATGGCCAATATGTAAATGTTAACTCTGAATACACATTTATGTACCATGTTAGTGACATTCATTATCCAAGCATTTGTATGCATATTTGTCAAGTTTGCATCAGTTACTATTTTTTTAAGTTTCAGCCTGTTTTGTAAGGTATGTTGAGTAAACTTAAAAAAAAAAAAAAAAAATCCAGCTTAAGGGGCATGGCAGCCTTGGTTTTGGAGGAGAGTCCCAGGTGACAAGGTGTTCGGCAAAGACCTGATGAGTTTGGTTTTTGTTTTCCATGGCGACGGACGGAGTCATCATGGCCATGTGGGATTTGGAAGCTGCTTCCTGTGTTGTAGGCGGGACCCTCCTCAGTTGGTGTGAGACTGAACGGGGCAGCAGACCCCTGGCCCCTTCCACTCCTCATCTTGCTCCTGAGGCTCACCTCTTAGAGGGGCTCCTACTTCCTTTCAGAAACCAAACGCATGTCCTGGCTGTCCTGTGGAAGTTCTGCAGTCTGGGGCATCGATACTGGTATCAACTCTCAGTTGCTTTTAAAAGCCGCAAAGTGGAGTGGGGGTGGGGGCCAGTGGAAGACTTGTTTGGTTCTTTCTTTATTCAAACTGTGTATAAAGAATAAAGTTAGCAGAATGACACCAGACCAGACTCTTTAATTTTTATTAATACCACATCAATTTAAAGTTTTACAGGAACCAAGATTCAAGCTCCTTAGGTGCTACTGTATTTTATGTTGCACGCACACGCACGCACAGATTCATGAATTTTTCATCTATGGGCTTTTCTTAAAATAAAATAAAGTTCCTGTGTGGCACAGACCTGCCAAGTAGCTAAACACAGCACTACCAAACGAAGCGGGCGCGCAGGTCCCAGTGCGGACGGTCTGGAGGGGAGGCCCAGGGGTCACCAGTGCAGGCTTCCTGGGAGGCCGCAGGGGGCGGAGGATGCATGTTCTACACCATGACTGGAAGTCAGCTGAAGTGTCGAAAGGGGCTGAGACATAGACTGGAGTAGGGCAAGGATGCCTGTGACCCATCTAAGTTCCTAAGTAATTGCCCCCAAAAGCAGACGCTTTCCTTCCGCCACCTCAGCCTACATGCAGTGCTTTGGGGCCCTCACACATCGTGGCCCTCACGCTGAAGTCACCAGGCAGGTTCCCTCTGGGTTGTCAGGAGTTACAACCTGAAGGAACTCACAGGTGTCGTTCAAATATACTGAATTTCCGTGTTGGAAGGGGAGGCGGACGCTTACTCTTAAACGGGAATCCAAGGTCCCCCGTCGCCCTTCGCCCGATGCTCTGTCTTAACTGCACAGAGCCATCAACACACCTAACCCTGCCGTGCCGGCCTGGCTTCCTGGAAGACTCTCCAAAGGAGCGCCTGGCCAACACAGGCTAGAACATTCTGTGTGCCTGGGAGGGAAAGGAGCCCTCGGCACAGCACACCCAGAAGCCCGCCTCCATTAGCACGGCCTGTGCACCTCCCTGTGCTCATCTGTGGTCTCCGCCGGACACAGCACCTCCGCCCACCTCGGGCTGTGGCTTCAGGGCCCAGCGCTGAGCACGGGCCAGAGGCAGCTGTGAAGGGGAGGCTGGGGAAAGGTAAAGGAGAAAAGCCTGTTTCTGTAGTGTGCCTCTGGAGCATCCCCTCCACGGACTGAGATAGGATCACAACAACTTAACAACCCAGGAGCCCACATGCAGATTTTTCCCGCTAACAAGTTTACAGCAGTATACAGCAGTTACAGACATTTGTTTCAGAATAAGAAAAGTACAACCATATTTATTAAACTTGAGGCGAGGTGGGTAGGAAGAGGGAGGAAAGCACATTCAGGAATAAGCTCTCGGACTAAAGCTTGGAACTAGTGTCCCAAAGGACCCACACCACCTTCCCCGATGGCGGAGCCTCTCCTTCCTGGTCGGCGGCAGGGAGTGTGGGCTCCCGCTCCAATCCCACCGGCTGGTTCAGTTTTCGGCTATCAGATGGCATCTGGTAACCGGGAATTATTACCACCATCTATAAGTTACTCAGAGCTGAAAGTTGTATCTCTAAGCGAAGAAGAGGAATAGGAAGAGTAGCTGCTCACATTGTGGGGCGTGGAGGGGTCAAGGGCTGCAAAAACCCCCACAAGCTCGTGGGAAGGAATCCCACTCTTATCCCCAGATCATTTCTCAAGTTAACCATTTCTTAGCTTAAAAATAAGGGGAAAATTATGATGGGCAGCTATGTAAGAAGATTACATAGCTCTGAAAATTAAATAGAACCCAAGAGGGGTGTTTTATATTTTTCTCCTTTACCCTCCAATCTTTCCCCTTTCAAGCTACATCACCATTAAGGCTCCACCATCATTAAGGTATTGATTTGCCTATTCAATTGAATCTGTCTTTATTCTTTTTTTTTTTTTTTATGTTCTAAGATATCAGTTCATTTTTTTAGTCCAATAATTCTTGTGCTTGATTCTGCAGGTAAAGGGAAAGGAGGGGGAAACACCAAATTGCAAAAACAAAAACCAAAAAAAGCTTGGAATGCAGGCTCAAGCTGACACTGAGCACTTTCCTTCATAGTACAAGTAACAACAATATAGCTATTAAATGGTGATTTAGTAACTGTGGCATTTCTGGTTTCCATGTACTTATTCTGCCTTTTTCTTTGCGATTCCAGGTAGTTTTGCTTGGATCCTGTTGAGGGGAGGAAAAAGGTAAAAGTAGACATCAGTTCTAAGCTTTAACAGTGACGCTGGTGGGCGGTAGTAGACTTGCTAGACAGTGAAAACCCTCCCGTTTCCAGAGGCTTCCTCTGGATGAAGAGCCTGGTGTGGGTCAAGTGAGGGGTCTGCCAAGATCCATTCCCTGCTGCTGCCACCAAGCCGGCTGCCTGCCGCCTGTTTCACTGCCAGGACCTGCTGGGCCTCATGGGGCTCCAGAGGAAGAAAGGCGTACCTGGGCTAACAGCTGCTGACTGCGCACTCTCAGCCCATTCCTCTGGAAATGCCCGCTCACCACTGGTGCCATAAAAGCAGCCGGACTCAGAGGCAAGGAGACAGTAAAATACTACAGGAGCTGGCACTCTCCCCAATTCCCTACAGGACACCAAAGCTGCCTTTATTTTGTTTGTTAAGTGTGCCCATGACCAAGGCCATTCACACCTCCCAGCCATGCCAAAGCCTTTCCCCACGAGTGTTACATCCCGGGGCAGGGGCCCAGTCAGCCAAAACTACCAATTCTAGACATTAGGTTCAAAGCCAAGTAAGCAAGGATTGCCTTTCAAAATCAGGAGTGAACAGCAACTAGATACATGTCTGTGTTAACTGTCCTTGCCTGATGTTAGCTCCAATGGACACCTAACAAGAGCAGGTAAAGACCCTGGCATCAAGCCAGAGCTGTCTGGACATAACCAGTTTCCTCTTATTAAAGCTGGAAAATGTACTAAAATCTGGTGTGCGAAAGGAACTGACACAAACAGTAGATTTAACTGTTTTGTTTCCTTTTTTATTATTTAAATAAATGTTTTTATTGATTTTTAGAGGAAGAGGGAAAGAGCTATTGGTTGCCTCCTACATACCCTCCACGGGAATGAAGCCTGAAACCTGGGCGTGTGCTGACCAGCCAGGGCTGAAGTTTTGTTTCTTTTTCTTTTTAAAAAAAAAATATTTTATTGATTTTGTACAGAGAGGAAGAGAAAGGGATAGAGTGTTAGAAACATCGATGAGAGAGAATCACCGACCAGCTGCCTCCTGCACACCCTCTACTGGGGATGTGGCCACAACCAAGGCACATGCCCTTGACAGGACCTGGGACCTTTCAGTTCGCAGGCCGACGCTCTATCCACTGAGCCAAACCGGTTTTGGCTGAAGTTTTGTTTCTTAAAAAATATGAAGAGCCCTAACTGGTTTGGCTCAGTGGATAGAGCATCCGACTGTGGACTGAAGGGTCCCAGGTCAGTTCCAGTCAAGGGCTCAGGCCTGGGTTGTGAGCTCATTTCAACGTGCAGGAGGCAGCTAATCAATGATTCCTTCCCATCATTGATGTTTCTATCTCTTTCTTCCTCTCCATCTCTGAAATCAATTTAAAAAATGTATATTAAAAAAAATATGAAGAGCCTGGCTGGAGTGGCTCAATAGGTTGAGAGTTGTCCTGTGTTTCTCTCCCTACAGATCCCCCCTCTCTCCCTCTTAAAAAAAAATAAAAAATAAAAAAATAAAACATATCCTCAGGTGAGGATTTTTTTAAAAAAGAGAGATGAAATAATTTCTTATAAAATCAAACTATTAACCAAGGTGCCCCTCCCCAGGGTGAAAAACTGGCATCAACATTTTACACAGGGGACGAAGTCACTGGGGTGGGGAGCACATGCTATGAGGAATGTGGAACCCAAGCATACTTACTTCTCAACAATCGACTTGGTCTGATCACGCACGATGCCAACGTAGTGATCAATCTGGGTCTTTAAGGAAAGGAAGTGACTTAGTTGTGGCAACACAAAGATTAACAATTTTCCTAAGGATAACTATTTTTTAAAAACACTACTGAATATTCTGGAAAACAAAAACATTGCCCAGCTTTTACGAGCATTTTTAAAACTCCAGATTTTAGATTTTATATTAAACCATAAACATCCCATATTTAGTTGCAGTGAAAATCACTAATTTCTTCAGCAGAGTCTTACTTGCTAGGTGTTTTCTTTAGAGAAACTGAACTTATAATAGCATTTTCTGAATACTAGATAACGTGTATATAATCTATTTCCTATAATCATAAATGTATTTTGGTTCCTGGGTAAAACTAATTCATTTAATACCAAAATACCAAAAAGTCTGCTGATGGATGACTTAACCCATAAATAATAACCTCATAAATCTAGTATATTCTTTAGGCACCATTCCACAATGCAAACACCTGCTCATACTGATGAAGTTCCATATTAGCCTTAATATTTTCTTTTTAGATATGAGCTTTTATTTATTTAAATGTTTCCAACTTATTTTAACAGATAATGCAGCTATGTGATAAAAACACAAAAGGCACACAACTAAGCATAAAAAATAAGTCTTCCTTCCCTTATCTCTCCTAGACAGTTTGTCTACTTAGGAAACCACTGTTACCAGTTTCTTATAAGTACCTGACTTATAAAGTTAGACTGCAGAATAGAAGAGATTGCTCTGAACTTTCCATATCTAAAAAATGAACTAAAACTACCGTGTTTCCCAAAAATAAGACATCTTCTGAAAATAAGACCTAGCGCATGGAAAGATAAGACATCCCCTGAAAATAAGACCTAGCGCAACTTTGGGAGAAAAGATTAATATAAGACATTGTCTTATTTTCGGGGAAACGGGGTAGTCACACATCAAATGGCTTATCTGATCTGAAGCAGGCCATAGCTTACCTTGTACTTCTCATAGACAATGGGCACACTGAAAATGAGCAGGTCAGCTGTAAGACAGAATCATGGGACATGGCACGTGTAAGTGTGAGAGTCACAAAGTCTCAGGACTCAAGTCACACACAGATTTTTCCTCAAGAAATATAGGGAAGCGCAGATCTTCAAATATGAGAAATGTCTAGATCTCTCAGTTAAGGACAGTTAGATACAGTACATTGATTTTTATAAATTTAAGATCCCCATATTCAAATCAAATCTAGATGATGCTCCTTTGCTTCTAGCTGTTCTGATATTTAAAATTAGGACCAAACTAATAAACCTTCAGCCACACAATATCTGGGTTCAAGGACTCCATGCATGTTAAAGGCGGGGCCATTTGGAAGCAACGGAGCCATGCTGGGCCTTCTCTTGGCTCTTAACTCTTACCAATGACTTCAAAGAGCACGAGACATTCTCCTTGCCACCTTACCCAGAATCAGGAGGGTGATTCCATTGAAAACGGCACCCACATAGGTCATCAGCCACATGAAGACAGCCAGCTGTGAAGGATTAAGCAGGAATAGTTATGACACTAACTTCAGGTTAGCCAATGCCCTTTTCCTCTAGCTAATTGAGTCTACATAAACTTAGTGATGTATGTCATAAATAATTTCAAAATAGAGGCTATCCCATTTGCACTATACATTGTAGGGTGGATAAAAGAATTCTGTAGATCTCTTAGGCCCCAAGACTGTAAATGCATTTCTGAGTACATTATCCTGTTAGTTCTCCAGGTTTACGAGACACCTTCTCCATCGACTCCTCTCTCCATTTTTTTAAAAAAAATATATATTTTATTGATTTTGTACAGAGAGGAAGGGAGAGGATAGAGTTAGAAACATCGATGAGGGAGAGTCATCGATCAGCCGCCTCTTGCACACCCCCTACTGGGGATATGCCCGCAACCAAGGCACATGCCCTTGACCGGAATCGAACCCGGGACCCTTCAGTCCCCAAGCCGACGCTCTATCCATTGAGCCAAACCAGTTTCGGCTCCTCTCTCCATTTTTACAGGCTGATGAAGAAAAGCATACAATTGTTTTTATCTGTGGAAACCTGTTTATTGTTTTTCCTCTGAAGCATAACCTAGTCTCTGGTTTCCCCCAGCCTCACCACCAAAAGCTTCAAGGTTAGCGGAACGAACCTTCAAGGAGTCAACCAGATCTTCCACCAGAAAGAGACGGATGATGAGCTTCAGGGCCCTGTTGACGTGCACCATAGCAGCGTTCACGTAATTATGGAAAGCTTCTGAGGACAGAGTGATGTCTACATCCAGGTAGGATCTTCCAGAAGAAGAAACAACAGTCATACATTGGACACGGAGGAGAAGGCCTCTTTCTGTGAGCACAGCAGTCCGTTAGAGTGTGAAATTCCCCCACGGACGCACTTCAGAAATCTCGGGGACACACTTTGCTGTCACGGACGGGGTGCGGGCACCACTGCCATTCAGTGGCAGAGGCAAAGATGACGGAAGTGAGCAACAGCTCACAAGGTGTTTTCCTCACAGTTAAACAGATCTTCAATTTTCTAAAATTGTATTTTGTTTTCTAAACTTTGCTAAGCCCCCCCCCCCGCCCATTTTGGAAAAGCAAACCTGTATTGGAGATTATACATGTAGGTGCAAGTATCTGATGTTTTGCTATTATTGTGTTTTTTTGTATACTCATTTCCAAGCAATTATACATTGGCTGGAACACATATTATCTTATTATACATGGCTATTTTGTCATTTCTTTATATAACAATTAGGATCTATTTTTAAAATTTTGTTTATAAATATATTATTTATAAATTTCATTTCAAATGATAAAGGAGGCATTATAACATATTAGTTAAAAAAACATAAAGGAGGGGAGTAGTGAGTTTGATACGGTGAAAACCACAGAAAGAGAGACCTGGTGCTGTTCCCAGAGGCTCTACAGAACCGAGAAGGAAACATGTGCTTATAACTGTCATTCCCTGAAGACTCTGAGTGCCTGTGAGAGCCGCTCTGAGATGCTGGGCATCAGGAAAGACAAGCCTGCTTTGCCTTAGAGAGCCTACAGTCTGGTGGGGAAAGCAGAGTAACAGGCATGTTTTTCTTTCCTATTTATTAAAAAAAATTACCACCAAATATGAAATTATAAAAATTAGTTGTTGTAATTAATGCAACTTGGTAAAAACACATTTTACAAATCCACAACAGTGTCATGCAAGAGACATGACACCTGAGCTTATGCAAAATAAAATGTATTTACCCCTTCATTTAACAACTATTGATTTGTTAAAGCTAATTTGCAATAACTTTTCAAATGCCACATATAGTTTAAATTATTCCTTCTAGTTTCACCAAGAGAAAACACAAGGACCAGAGCCACAGCCGGACATCTATTCTGTCACAGTTCTGAGCGGTCACAACAGGGTTTCTTTCTCTGTGAGAAAAGGGTTTTTAAAACATTGCATTTGCTAATGTTAACAACCCAGTCAAAAAAGCTAGCAACTGGATTTCAGAAATGCATGACCTACATTCATCAAAACTTGCCCCTGGCATTAAACAAACTAAAGGAAAGATAAGCGGAGGGCTGCGTGCCTGAGACCCCGGCCAGGGCCCGCCTGCCTGGTGCAGACCCTCACACCACAGATAACCCCTCGGTGCTGAACCCTTAGCAGCCAGTCTGAGGGAGGCGGCAGTTTTATTGTTCAGGACTCTCCCTTGCATCACACACCTTTAAATGGAGTCAGGTTTTTAATGATATATATAAAGAATAAATATATATAACAAAAAAGGGAAGAGGGAAACCAGCATAAAACCAAGGGTAACACACCAAATTCTGATCATCACCAACAGCGCAGCCTCAACACCAAGCTTTCAAAGTCGTTTTAAAACTTGACTGTATGTTGTTGGCCCTGTCTCACAGAGCATGTCCCCGCGTCTCACAGAGCGCGTCCCCGCGTCTCACAGAGCGCGTCCCCACGCTGCCCTTCCCACTCAGAACTCAGACAGTCCTCTTTGGTCTTAAAGTGTGAGACTCTAGCTTGTCAAGAAGTCCTCGTCATTTCTTAAAGTGGTCGCATGGTGTCTAGGTGATGTTTCGTGTCACCGATTGGACCCTATAATTCTTGATTGTTCATCAGGTCTTTTTACACCTGCCCAGCCTCAGTGAACCCCTTTACTAAACTGTAAAGTGTTCCTTGTGATCCTTCAACTCACTTGAATGGATGTCCTTCTTCTGACTTCTGCACAGCTTGGATGACAGACCTGTAGACCCTGAAGCTGATGGTGACAGAGAGAAAAGCCAGGATGAGGTAAGAAACCACACTGATGACGCTGAAAGCGGCCAGGGAGAGCAGCACGATCAGCGTGGTGCCGAAGACAAACCCCGTCTTCTTCACGTCTCGCCAGAAAATCAGGTCGTGCACTGCCAAAAGAAAGGGAACCTAAGTCACACGCAACACCCGGACGCTGGCCAGGCGGTCCCCTGGCTGCGTCCTGCACGCCCGAGAAGCAGGACCAGCATCCAATTACAGGTGCCCCGCCCTCAGAGGCACATGTCAGGGGTGAGGATTCACACTGCAAAAGGTCCCTCTGGTTTCTGCACAGGTTTATAAAAACGTAGGACCTTATTTTTTAGAGGTGGCTCTTGAAGTGCAATGGGGTAAAGTATCATTTACTTCAAATGTTTCAGCAGAAAGGATGGTAGAGCAAGTGTGGTAAAATCTTGATAACTGTTGTCTAAATTTAGCAAACAGGCCTACAGTTTAATTCAGTCAACAGGCTATAAAACCAAAACCAAAGTGAAATTTATAAATTGGGCTGGGGCAGAGAGAGTGGTGAATAAAAATATATCAAGCTCTATTAGTGTTAATTAAAATTAAACACCAGTCTCTGTTCATCTGAAGAGTACTCAGGAAGGATTATGGGTAGGGGACCATATAATCATCTAAAAAGCAATACTTTTGAGAGTAAGTGGGGCTACTATTAGTAATTGTTAGGAAATGGGTAAAATAAAGCAAGGCTGTCCCAAGCAAGTGGGCCTTACGGCCGGGGACACTTAAACTGGAAACCTCAAAAACCCCGGTGTAACTGCTGGCAACTGCCTCCAGCAATGATACTACACTTGGATGCCAATCTGTGAAGGCTCACTTCAACATTAATAACTACTTCAGTTTCCTCTGTGCTATTTGCTTATACAAAAAAGAGCAAGGGTTTTGGAGTTGGAGAACATGAGTCCTGTAATTTTAGTTATATACCCTAATTAACCTTTCTAAACCTTTGTTTTCTCATCTATTTCAAAGTTGTTTTAAGTAATATGGCTAATGCATGTAGAAAGCTTAGCATTGTAAATGACACACAGTAACCACTCAAATGGGAACTATAATCAAAATATGAAGACTGTGATTGAGGGTAAGGTTTCAGCTGACCCCCTGGCACCCAGTCCTTCCCCATATTCAGCTTCAATCCTCTTCTCTGAAACGAACCTTAGCTGGAGCCACGGGAACCTAACTTGAAACTAAGAAAACACCAAAGACAAACTCACGGTATAGCAGAAATAATCACTGGTTCCAAGACTCCAGTTACAGGATGTGACTATGAGGAGGAAGCAGGGATTAGGATCGCTGAGGGGAGGTTGAGAGTCCCAGCAGTAATGTTGCAAAGGAGAGAGAGAAACGGGAGGCAGCTCAGGCTCACTTGACTGAGCAGGAAAACTGAACAGACAGAATGCTACCTACTTATGAGAGCAATTCCTGTAGCCAGAGTCCAAGTAATCTATGTCATTTTCCATTATCTACAGGAACAGTTTCAACACACAACGCTTAGCGATGGAACACACTGATACCATGTGCCTCCTGACGTAATGTACTGAGAAGCACACATCACTTGGTATTCTTGCCAAAAACATAAAAACTGAATCTGATGAGAAAACACTAGACAAACACAGACTGAGAAAGAGTCTACGAAACAAGTAGTCTGTATTCTTAAAAAATATCCATGGTGTGACAGACAGGAGACTGATTACACATAAATGCAAAGTGAGACAGATGGACACTGGCTACCAGGGTGAACGCTGTGAAGAACATCACGGGGACAAGTGACACAATGTGAATGTGAACTATATAACTGATAAAAGTTCTGTGCATGTACATTTCCTAAACGTGATAAGAATCTAAGCGTACCACAGAACAAAGAAAAATTATCATTCAAAAGAAACACACTCCAAAGTATTTAGGGCAGTGGTTCCCAACCTTTTTTTGGGGGGGTGGGGGGGCATGTCCCATCTAAAGCATCTCTAAAATCCTGATGCGCCTCTGTGACCTATAATTCCCATTATTCAAAAAGTGAACTCCTATTCACGGAGGAAGGTTAAGAGGCCATTAACTTGGTCTAAACAAGCTTCCAAAGAACATGGCATCCATGAAAGAGAAAAATAAAAGAACGAAAGGACAGTTAAAGTCCTGAGGAAGAAATCACTAAGAAATTGTTTAAAACATTGTAATGTGAAGTGATATGGAAAATAGCAAATAAAGTTTCAAAACATAGAGAACTGAAATGCACAAATGTCACAATATGTATTTATATACTGTATATGAGGCCTCATAAGAAATGCAAAAAATTCACTATTAATAACTCATTCTCAAAATGCTCCCCTTAAAAGTCAAATTGCACCCCTGCGGGGCATGCGCTCCATGTTGGGAACCACTGATTCAGGGACAAAGGGGCAGGGTGTTTGCAACCAGCTCTTAAATGGTCAGGAAAAACCATGAATCTATAGAGAAGAGATAAAGCAAAAGTGACTAAATGTTAACATTGGTGAACGAGACCAAGGGTTTATGGGAGTTTTTTTGTACGATGCATGTAGTCTTTAAATTTGAAATATTTGAAAGAAAGAATAAGAAAAAGAAACTCTTAGAGATAAGGCTGGGCCCAGATTATAGAAGACCACCCTGTATCAGAGAAGGGAAAGCGACAGCCTCTTTAGGCAATAAATCTCCCTTTGTGCAAACCAGGAAAAGCACCCTATCCTCATGACTTGACTGCCACCTGCTGGAAAATTGTCATAAGGAACCCAAACCCACAATGTTACCACATGTGAATGGTGCTTCCTGGAGGTGTGCAAGACAGAGCTTGGATGACATGTCTCTAGAGAGGGACGGGAGAGGGGCAGGAGATGCGCTGGAGCTGAGGGACGGGCTGGATCACGGAGCACTTTCACAGAGCAAGGAAAAGGCCGTGGGTTTTACCTCCGATGAGATGCGAAGTCACTAAGAATGTCAAGCAGGGGCCAACATATTAACAAGAGAAACCCCCTTACTGCCGTAAAGAGAACACGGATTGCGATGGGGCAGGCGTGAAAGCAGAGAGGCTCCCGAGGAGGCTAACCTGGAGTCCAAGTGAGAGATGACTGTCATTTAGATAAGGACGGAGATGAGTGGACAGATTTGGACTATATTTTTGAGGTAGAACAGGCAGATTGATAGACTGGATGCAGAAGATGAAATATGAATGACACGTAGGCTTGGGGCCTGAGCAAATGGATGGATGTGGTGTCATTTGCGCAGAGGGAGACAGAGTACAGAGAATGTTCATTTGGGATGGATGCCTAGGGATATCCATTAGTGAAGAGGTGCTCAGATCCGCCAGTGTGGAGCACACAGGCAAGTCTGAACTGGAGATACGAAGTGGATGAGGCTACCTAGTACTGACTGGGAAGAAGGCCCGATTCTGAGGCCCATTGGTAGACCTGAAGATTGGAAGAGGGACTTCTTTCTGAATGCTTCTATTTTCTCAGTAAGAAAGAGCTGAGATCACTGGCTGGTGGGGCCAGGGGAGCAAAGAAGGTTTACAGAGAGAGGAAAAGATATAAAATGGTTATTTCAGAAAAGCGAGAAAGTGTCGTAAAGCTCTTAGAAGAAAACACACTGTATCTTTGTGACCTTAGGCAATGGCTTCTCAGATACGATACCAAAAGCACAAATGACCAAAACAAAAAACAACAAAAAAGAAATTGGGCTATATCAAAATTAAAAACCTCTCTGCTGTCAGTGGTACCAAGAAAGTGACAAGCCGGGACCGGTTTGGCTCAGTGGATAGAGCATCGGCCTGCAGACTGAAAGGTCCCGGGTTCGATTCCGGGCAAGGGCATGTACCTTGGTTGCGGGCACATCACCGGTGGAGGGTGTGCAAGAGACAGCTGATTGATGATTCTCTCATCGATGTTTCTAGCTCTCTATCCCTCTCTCTTCCTCTCTGTGAAAAATCAATATTAAAAAAAAAAAGAGAAACAAAATACGCATAAAATAACAGTATCTTTGCAAATAATATATCTGGTAAAGTATTTGTATCCAGATATATAAAGAATTATATATAACTCAATAAAAAAATTAGTCCAAATTGAAAAATGAACAAAGGATCTGAAGAGACATTTCTCCAAAGATACACAAATAGCCAATAAGTACATTAAAGATGCTCAACATCATCAGTCATTAGGGAAAAGCAAATCAATACCACACTGAACCTCCTAGGATGGCTATAATAAAGAATTACAATAACAAATATTGGCAAGAATGTGGGAAACTGGAGCCTACCTTCCTATTGGGAATGAAAAATGGTCAGCCACTTTGGATAACAATTTGACAGCTCCTCAAAGAGTTAAACATAGTTATTATATGACCCAGCAATTCCACTTTTAGGCAAATGCCCAAGAGAAATGAAAACATACAACACAAAAAATTGCACACACCAATGTTCACAGAAACATTATTCATAATAGCCCCAAAGTGGAAACAATCCGAACACCAAGAACTGATGAATGCACAAATAATGGTAGTGTATCCATACAACCGGATTTTATTTGGCAATAAAGAGGAATGAAGTTCTGATGCTACAAAGCTTCAAGACGTGACGCTAAATAAAAAAGCCAATTATAGAAGCCACATATTATATGATTTAATTTATATAAAAACCAGGAATAAGCAAATCTATAGAGACAGAGAGTAGATTATTAGTTGTTTATGGCTGTGGTGATGGCGGAAAATGGGGAGTGGCCACTAATAGGAATGGGGTAAGTGGTGGGGGACTAAAATGTTCTAAAATTGAATAGTGCTAATGATAAAAAACATTTAGCTGTACACTTTAAATGGGTGAATTGGTAGTATGTAAACTATAGCTCAATAAATGTGTTAAAAAATAGATAAATTTGCAATTATAGTCAGGGGTTAGTAATAATTAATACAGAGAATAGCCAGAAAATCAATTAGGATATAGAAGACTTGAACACTATTATCCAATTTGACACAGAATATTCCACACAACAACAGAATACACATTCTTTTCAAGTACATTTGGAACATTTACCATGATAAATCAAATCCTGGACCATGAAACAGCCCCAATAAATTTGAAAGGATTCAAGTCACTTGC